TTGGGACAAATGCAACTTCTGTAAGCCTTCATTTCTCTCTTTGTTATTGAAGAGCTATGTCCTCAGCTTCTTGTGTGGGGAGCATGAAGCATGTTTAGGACCATTAAGGACAGAATATGCACATAGCTCACTGCTCTAAGGAAGTGTCACTGCCCTCAGTGCCAGGTGGAGTAAGCACCCAGTAAATATTCACGTGCTCAGACTTACATGGATAGTGATATGCTGATAAATGGTGGCCCTATGTAGTTGGCAACTAAAGGCTACCTGTACAATTTTTTCTGCATCATTCTTGGAAAAAATCATTCACTGAGTTGATTTTTGCAGTTACTGCCATGAGTGGAATTTGTGCTTCCATGATAGGGTGCTGGAAACTGCCTCCATAGCCAAGGAAATGAACTGAGCTAAAGTGAGCTGGGACTTGAGATTTCTTCAGTCAAGCACAAGGGACTATCAGTCTTTAAACAGTAGATGTGATTAGGAGGCTTTTTCAAAGCCACTGGGCCAGAACTAGCAAAGATTTCACAGTCCTTCTGTTGCTTATGTCATTGAACTTGCATGAGCAGAGCCTCAGAGACAAGAACCTGTGGGTATGTGGAAATGTAATCACTGCACTCCTGCTGACTAGAAAGAACCTTGCAGGGAGGCAGCCATTCAGCACCACAGAGAGTTTTTAGCTGGGCTTTCCTCTGTGTGGAAGAAGGCAGGGCGGGATGTTACTCAGGCTGCTGGCAGCCCTATGGCCTTGGCATCACCCAGCCCTGTGGGCAGAGGGTCCTTATTATCAAGTGGGGGCCATAACTCCAGGGTTCCAAGTTTATGGTGAGGAATTGATGGGATAAATCAGGTAGGATCTGAGTGGTGTCCAAAGCAATGGCCATGGTGACCCTATGTGGGATCAAGCCTGGATCTTTCCCTTTCTAGCACTGACAGCTTTCCTATTCCCTCCTGAGGTTGTTTTTAAGAAAATCGATGTAAAGATTAATAGAATGTGTGACTGAACACACTCATGTGACTTCTGGATTCCAATAGTTATATAAACAACTATTAAGGACCAGGTGACTATTGAACTAACAATGTTTGTGTCAGCAAAAAGGAAGATACTAGGAACCATGCCTTCTCTGCCTTGGGTTAACAAGTAAACATCTTAGTAGCATTTTTAAAAAGGAAATAACAGTACCTATTAAATACTGAGCATGTTTTGAAGTCTAAATTTGACAATAGTATCTAGTGGAGAAGAAACACGTTGGGTATTCACCACAGAAAATAGTCTCTAGAGTAGCAACAGTGCTAGGAGTTACTGTGGTCATCATCATTATTTATTCATCCCTTGTTCCAAATGTCAGGGTCTCTGTACTTAAGTAGGAAATGCACCATTGTTGCTACAGCATTTTCGAGGGCTGTGATGGCACCTGACTGGTCAGCCAGATGTGAGACTCTTTTCATGGCTTATAGGACTGCAAAGGAGGAGGCCATGCATCAGGTAATGAGCTTTATTAGCTCAGTGGTATCATTTTATCGCTCACCTCTGAAAGCAAATTAATATGGAAATAGTTTTTTGGAATATTTTTCAAAGCCCTGCATCATTTGGCAACTTTGTAATTACCCATACCGCACCTTGATCCTCAGCTTATCATCTCTGAGCTCTTTATCCCAGCTGGCCAGTGAGTTCTGCTTTGCGTCCCAGCGCTACCGCCATCTGCCTTGAGAGCCTGGCGCGAGTTTTAACAAAAGAGTCCCGTGCCACATGCTCACTTCTTAATTTCATACAAGCAAAAATATACCCTGCAGACTGGAAAAAAGAACACAGAAGAATAGACACATTTAAATGTGCATTTTAAACCCAAATATAAGGATGATTTGCACCCTCGGGTCCTCTCCCTTTGCCTGGCATGAGCCCCACCTCCCTTCAGCTCAGCTGCAGCCATACAGTGTTTGTTCTGAATGTTGTCAGAGGTCCTTTGGTGCTCACTTTTCCTAAAATAACTTTGCTGTTGTTTTAAATAAGTGCACAAAATTCAGATTTTTAAAGAAATAGATATGCCCATCTTCCCTGCCTCTGCTCCACCTCCCAAAGTGCCCACTTTTATTAATTTCTTGTATAATCTTTCAGAATTGCTTTCTGAAATTACGTCAGTGCAGTCTTCATGTTTTACCCTAGTGTTTTTTACAGCAAAGGCATGTGCTGGTTTGTATCTTGCTTTTTCACTATGTGTCTTAGAAAACTTCACTTCCTAGAGATCTTTCTCTCTCTCGCTTCTAGCTGTGAAATAGGACAGCAACATGGGAACATGCCTGTGTTTCCACAGCTTTGCCTACAGGGATGCTTTTCAGCCTGGGTTTCTGCCAGTTTGCAGACCTGCATTCTGGAGGGAGTTGTTTTCTTTCTGGAGGTGCTGTGATGTGGGAGCAGCTTGGACACTGGAGCTAAAGGGAACTTAGAGTGGATGCTGCTCCATTATGTGTGGTGGACAAACCAAATTGCTGACCCTTCAGGCTTCTGGTTCTTCGTGCGCGAGCACATCACCACCACTACCTACCTAAGGGAAGGGAACAGCTACAGCTATTGTCATAATGTCCACCACCTTTGAGAAACATCCATTGTAAGTGCCCTTGCTCTTTGGGCTCCAGCTGAATGACTCTCAGTTTGAGATAGAAGAACCCCCTGGAGCATTTCTTTCCCTGGGAGTTAGTAACTACCTTGAATTCCTTTCCTGAGAGTCCTGGAGACCGTGAGACCATAGCTTCCCATCCAAACCGGACCAGTGCAGCTGGGCTCATTCTGCTTGCACCACATACATGGGCACACTGTGCCACTGATTAGTGTGAGTCATGGCATGCCTGTCTCAGTGCCAGCCTGCCAAGAGCTGGGTCCTAAGTTGAGGAAGAGGGATTTGGATGTGTTTTCTTTTCTTTTTTTATGAATGAGGAAGTGGCTTTGTCATAGATGGCTGTAGAACTACAGCAGTGCTCCTCTGGCCACTGTGGGCATGCTGTTGCATGGGTAAATTGGAGGGTTCCTTTCATCTTAGGAGAAAATTACTTGGGTGGAGAAAACCCTTTGATAAATTGCGAGTGAAGGACTGAGGTCTCTCCGGGATTTGAGGATGTAACAGGACCATGGCTGAGCCACTAAACAAGAAGAGCAAGTTCTACCCAAGAGAGCAGGAGAAAGGGGCAGCACTAGTTGGAGGGGCGCCCCCTGATGTGCCTGCATGCTCCTCATGATGCCCCTGTGAGGTTGGAACTGCTCTGACGTCCATGCAATGGGTAATGATGCCGAGACCCAGGGTCCTGAGATCCGGTGCTGAGTGGGGTGTGGCCCTGGCACTGCTTACTCAGGATATTTGCTCACTGCCATTCATTTTCCATCGAACAGTATTGCTTGAGCTACTGCTGGAGCCAGGCCTTCTCCTGAGCCTCAGCACAAGGCCTCTGCCCACGTCAGCTCACAGACCACGGTGAGACAGTACATCTGACACAGGTTGCCAGGGAATGGAGATGGCCCAGGGAATGCTTCCTGGTGGCAGGGAAGTTTGGAAGCAGAAAACAGAGAAAAGTGTTTCCAGGCAAAAAGCACAGCATGCAGAAAATCCAGAGAAAAACATAGGATAATTTAGAAGAAGGGAAAGAGAACTAGAATAACCAAAGTCAAGCTCGGGGGTAGGAAAGGGGTCCCTGAGCACTCCAGGTGCCAGCATGTCACTATCTTAACTCACTCATGGGGGAGGCCATTATGGGGTCAGCTGAGCTCTCTGAGGCAGCCCTCTTATCTGTGTACCTTTCTGGAGAAGCCAAGTTGGACATTGCTGGGAGAGACATGATTGCTGTGTCCTTTATGCCCCCAGAGCGACACCCCCAACCACTGGCCTGAGACCCAGGAGCGTGCGCTCCATTCCCTTCGGGTCCTGCCCCCTCGTGCTCTGGCTCCTGACCTCTGCTCCATTCATTTGTGCCTCTGCCTACAAGTGCTTCCTTCCATATCTCTGTACCCAGGCTTGGCAAATGCGACTTTCAGGGCTGTTGGGGGCTTCTTAGTGCATATGGATTATTAGAGGAATGGATTTCATTGTGGCATCTTCGTACATACATGTAACATACTTGCATTGTATCTGTCCTCACTTTTAACTCTTCCTTACTGCCCCCACTCCATCCCCTAGTTGCTGTCTTCCTCAGAACACAGGCCTCTGGATTCAAGGTTCACACATCCTGCCCTCAAGGGCCCCAGTGCCCTGCCTGTCTTGCCTTGGGTGCACTGAATATGTTTGTTGGATGAAATCTTGCCAGACGAAGAAGGAAGTGGATTTTTCCTCCACTTTCCAATCGCTAGGTGATGTCAGACTGAATTTTTTTCTGTTTGGTTGCAATTTCTGTTCAGTGGCTTTAGTTTACATGAGAAGAGGAAAAGGTTTATAGCCTGAGAACCAGTAGCTGTATAAGATTAGAACCTGGGAGATTAGAACCTTTTGCTGTCTGTACTTGGATACCCAGCTTCTCCATCCACTGCCACCTACTGCAAGACTTGAACTTGCTCAAGCAAGCCCATTCGTAATAATAGATGTAATTACGTTGAGATGGATAGCGCAGCAAACATGGAGCCAGCGTGAGGCCAGCAGCACACATTAAGAATCACTCGGGTCGTACTGAATAGTCAGCCACAGTTGGCGTGTTTTACTCAGGAATAATAACCTCCCATTTTCTTTATTTCCCCCAGCAATAATAGTTGTTGGATTACAATTATCCCAGTGGATTTCCCTTTCTCACATAACAATTACTTCCTTTAACTAGACGTGAGGGAAGTGGGGGCCTGATGGGCATCTGTGCCTTGATTTCTGCAACTTTGTGGAGATGGCTCCGTGGTTGGCTAGACTACTTGAGCAGAGGGGAGGCATACCTACTGTAAGAGGTTCTCATGTGGGGGAGTCTCTGTCCAGAATCTTCTAGAACTTCTCCTCCCATCCTGGGGGCTCAGCAGGCCCAAATTTTCCTTGACTGAGGCTCACCCCTCTCTGAAGCGCAGTGGTGAGGCGAGTGTGGAGGGGCTCCTGAACCAGCTCGTCCTGGAGCACCTGCAGCTGGCGCCTCTGCAGTGGGGTGAGTAGTGTACCGGGCACCTTCTCTCAGGTGTGCAAGCGCGTGGGAGTGTGGGGGTGATTGAGAGGTGGAAACATGCTAAAGATCATCTTAGAGAGGTATGAGAGACAAAGGCACTCACTCTGCTACACCAGTGCCCCTGGACACAGGCAGCTCAGCATCCGGGTGAGTCCTGCCAGCCCCATACTTGAAGGGGCTTGGTGCCTTCCAGACAAACATGCAGTGGGCCTCAAACTCACCTTCACTTTCCACCACAAGAGACATGGCATCTTCCTAAGTGGCTGTCATGCAGGGTAGGTATGTTGGGCAAATATTTTTCAAACTCAGAGTGACAGCATGGTGGAGGAAAGCAGGTATGTGATTTCCACTTTGCTTTGATGCCATTCACCTGGACTAGGCTTTGATAGCTTTCCACACTGGCGTGTGGAAAAGTGTGTTTCATAAACACCTTCACTGGGTCTGGTGTTCAGCCCATGTGTGGTCACTACCACCTAACACCCCGTGTGGTTATGTGGACATGTTGGCTTTGTTGTCCCCAGGAGTTTTTACCTTGGCCTGTGCCTTTTTAATTAGTACTCAGAGGTATCTTGCTCAGAATGAACTTAGTATTTCTGCCAAGGTGAGAGCCACTCCTATTCTCTGGAAGTTATTTCATCAGATTATCTGTTTTGGATCTACTGCTGACAATCAGTTGGTACATATGTGTCTTTTTATCCCTGAAATCACTGTATTTACACTTTGGCCCAAAGTCAGCTAATTAATAACCTGAAACTGCCCCTCTACCACTACGGACACATAGACATTGGCTGGAGCCTTAGAGAGAAGAACACAACCTTCTCCTTGCACGCCCACCACCTTCAGCCTAGGAGAGGGCCTGCAGGGCTGCCTCCTCTCTGCTGGCTTCCAGTCCTGCACAGAAAGAGATTTTCAGCAGTGGATGGAGTTGTCATATAGTAAGAGTGGGTGTGCATTTCACCCTGAGGAGTTCCTTCCCTGTGGTTGTCTTCCTCACTGATGACCCACCAAGTGAAGGAAGGGCTTGGCCTTTCTGCAGGGGGCCTCACCATGTGGCCCTCTGTAGGCTCCTCTTCTCCAGAGACTAGATTAACATGTTCTCTCCCTGACTATCTGCACACAGTCAGCTACTTCCACCAGACTCTGCGCACTGAGGAGGGTCAGCTACATGGACCTTCCCCACTTGAGGGATGGGACAGACTCCAAAGAAGCAGCCCTGTATAACCTCAGGAGACCCAGCAGCAAGCAGCTTTCCTTCCCAGGCCTCCTACCTAGGCCTATCACCATGACCTGAGGCAGTCTTCACAGCAGAGGGACATTCTGTCACCCTGTTTCGAGTGCCGTAATGTACTTACACTGCTTTGGGCTACTTCAAGTGCACATCTTTATAGAGAATTTTTGTTTGATTTTCTGACTGAAATGATCTTCTAGTTGTGGAGTTACTAGGTCAAAAGATGTGAACATTTTTAAAGAATCTTGTGGTGTTTCTTTGTTGGGTGACTGTATGACTATTGAGTGTGATGTGGACACTGCAGAATTTGTATTTCAGAGGTGACTCACCCTGTTGGAAGCACAGAATACCCAGTGTTGCAGTACCACCCATGTGAGACCATGCGGGGTGGTGGGGAGGGAGGGCCTGGCTGGGTTCATGACATTGTGACTTTCTGGATCATGTAGCTGAGTTGGCTATCAGAAGTCATCATGTCTCCAGACCTCCCCGCAATGCCGATGGATTGAGAGCCCCAGGGGTGTAGGGACCTTGCCATGGCCAGCAGAGTTTCCACATCTCTCCCTGAGTCTTCTGCCTTGGGAGGCCTATCATGTCCCTGCTGTCTTGGAAACCATGGACATGTGGGCTGCCTATTCATCCCAGGCAAGTCACCCACAGGGATCTTGGCCGAGCTGGTACCATCTCTTCCCAGAGTCAGCCACATTTCTATTTCTTAGTAGAACTTCCTTTTTGAGGGTCTTTGGGGGTTGGTATTTACGTATCTCTGTGTTGAAAGAGGGAGGTGAGCATCCTCATATGTGACTCAGTGCAGGGCCTTGTGTGCAAAGAAAGAAGCCAGAAGGCTATAGAGGATGGCTTGCCTTGAGCCTCTGCAGACCTGGCTCCTGGCCTTGACTTTGCCCCTTGACTCGGACCAAGTGTCTGGGCAGTTCCTCTGCCCTGCTCTCGGGGCTGTCTGTGACAAGGGTGATACATATTCTGGGGCAGGAAACTTGACCTTCCCAGCATAGTGTAGCTGGTGCTCACTGAAAAGTGTGTGATCTGTCTGTTTCCTTCTATCCATTCCCTCTTAGTCTATGAGGGAGACCTGCCCTGCCTCAGAGTCATGCTACAGCATGGCGGGCACATGATTGGGCCCTGTAGTGGGAGGAGAGCCTAGGCCAAAGTATTTTGGGAGGGAGGGGCCACTCTGAAGTGAAAGGATCAAGCTGCTGATGGATTGAGAGCCCCAGGGGTGTAGGGGTCTTGCCATGGCCAGCAAGGCTTCTCCTCTTGCCTTCTGCTTGGGTGGCCCATCATGTCTCTGCTGTCGTGCAGGGGCAGACCTTAGTGTATCTTGGGGGAAGAAGTGATCTGGCTGAGTTTACCAGCACTGTCCTCAGGGAAAGATCAGGTGGAGGGCTTAGTCTATGGCAAGCTAGGCTGCATGAAGGCTCAGGTGAGGGAAAGGTGAATTATCTGTCTCCTTTGCTTCCCATTGGCACCATGATGTAGTACAGTCTTCATTTCTGGCCTCAGCACAGTCCCCACCCACCTAACCTATCATCTGCATGGGGAATCCCATGTCTTGCTCAGACCTGTAATCAAAGCCTTGGGCTCCTCTGAAGAGCCTCCTGGGTCCCTCAGAGGATGAGTTAAGGCTGTGGCTCCCAAGAACTTATGTGACCTGAAAGTGTTTAGGTTATACCACCAGGCTGCTTGTTTCAGGATAGGCCCTTGTCCCAGGATGGTTTGTCTGCTCTTTTGGAATGTCTACAGCTTTCACCTGAGCAGCCTGACTCCTTCTTTGACTTGGAGCAGGCTCACATGGTCATTTAAAAAAGAAAATGTAATCATTTTAAAATAAATGTTCTGCAAGTTCATGTCATACCATCTGGGCAAGGAGTGAGGACTTTGCAGTTTTATTACTGAGCCCCCAGCAACCCTGTGGGCTTGTGTCTGCCTCCATAAAGGAGGAACTGAGGCTCAGCCAGGTCTGGGACAGTCTCACCTGTGTTGGCACTATGGGAGAGAGTAGATCCAGGTTCAAATGATCCACTGGCACCAGAATTGACCTTCCACCTGGATGGGTCATTTCATGAAAGGCATATATTCTCACATTAGAAAGTGAGAGAAAATTGGGAAATTTAGACAGAGAAAAATGAACTCTTTCTTATCCCCTCAAACAACCTATATTTCATTTTGTTTATTTCCAAGTCATTTTATGATCTCCCAATTTTAATTTCTATTAGGTTCATAATATCCCTTAGTTATTGCAGGCTAATCAGGTCCACAGTCTCCCAAAAGAGTGTACAGGAAAGGCTAATAAAAAGAGGTGAATGAAATGATCTCAGGGCTCCAGGAGGATCAAAGCTTTCTTACAGAATTCAAGATTCTTGCAGAGCTAAGACCAAGACCTTCTTTTGGTGGCTTATATTTATTTGGTTATCAGAAGGGAAGGGAATACTCAAGAAGAGTAGGAACCACTCAAGGACTTATCCAAGTAAAACATTAAGCTAATCTACCCAGGAATGAGATGCCTGAGACTATAGTCTTTATCTAGTTGAGATTAGATCCAGGTGTCCTTGGCTGTGATTTTTCTCTTATCCTTTGAGGCTTTCCAGCTTCATCTGCCATTACAGGCCTTAGTAGAGATTAGTGACTCACAGAGGTTCACTTACTATGAATCCACTCCCCATATCCAGACAAGGAGCATAGACTTTGGACAGATTCACAAGTCAAGTTGAAAAGTCAATTGATTAATTTAAGTCCTGCTCAGGACTGTTTCATATTGGTCTCCATCAAATTTCACCATAGAAATGATCTGTTGTGATGCTTGATTCTTTTTATGCTTGAGAAAATATAAGTAGGTCTTGTACATAGTGTACATTTCGTCAGATAGGAAATATAATTTCAATACTCATTCTATTGTTGCACATTTAGGTTATTGCAAAATGTTTACCTTTATACAGGTTGTATAAGTGGTTTGTACATAGACCTTGTGGTAGTGTTATGAGCCTCTTGCCTCAGTGTGGATTCCCAGAAATTACTGGCATTTTGTGGGCTGAGTCCAGAGTAAAGCTGTTGACTTTTATCAGGTGACAGCAATGGCCCTTGCAGGTCACATGCAGGCAGTGTGTCACTGTTGCGCCAGCTGACTTGGGTTTTCTTCTGGCTTTGCTGTGTCCTCATGATGAATCATGGCTTAGGCTAGTGGTCTGCCTCTCTGTGCCTCAGTTTTCTCATTTGTAAATGCTAAGGATCCAAAATCCTCAATAAATGAAGAAGTGCCCATTATCTTCACAAGGAGAGGCTGCAGGATATGTACTTAATAGTGCCCTAGACAGTAGGAGCACCTAGAATCACCATTATTCCTTTGTTTGTTGTAGAGAGGAAGAAATTTCAGGTTGTGGACCCAGGACCTGGAGTGCTACTTCTGCAGATGATCCAACAGCAAGACAGGACTTAGGGCAAAGCTGGGCTGAGGCATGGGCTAGGCTCACAGCAGGACTCTAAGTTGGGTGCTAAGCTGGAGCTTTGGAGGTGCCTCCTGGAATGTCCTGGAGCTCTTGTGTGTGTACGTGTGTGTGTGTGTGTGTGTGTGTGTGTGTGTGTGTGTGTATGCGTGTGTGCATACATTTGCTGATCCCATCCTCCAGGTGGGAAGAGTAGGAAGCACGGCTGGGCTGTCTGCACCCCTGGCAGAACTAGTATATTCCCTGGCTGTCTATTTTGAGGACTTTTTTCCAGGCGTTTCCATAGATACCCAGTCACA